GTGAGTGTGTGTGTGCATATATGTATACATGCATATGGACATATATATATACTTATGCATATATATCAAGTATATATATATACATATCAAAGTGAAATTAAAAGATTGATTTATTTCAGAATTAAAGGCATCAAACTAGACTAAAGATATAGCTCAGTATTGAATGTGCTTGCTGCATAAGCAATGAGGTCCTGAATGTGATCTTGCAGAAGGGAAGTACAGAAAAGTCAGGGGAAAAACTGTATCTGTGTAATCCCAATATGGTGGTCATGGAGATTGGGAGAATGCTGAGGCATGCTGTCTAGTGAGTACAGCTAAAGCTGAAACTTGGCATCTGGAGAGATTGAGATCATGCTTATAATAAAATGAAAACAACTGAGGAAAGTTACCAGTGCTGACTGTGGCCTCAACAAACTCAGGAACTCACATACATGAGCATGCACACACAAGTTCACAGCACAGCTAAGAACTTAGAATCTCTAAGTTACTTTAAAATTTCAAAGAGGTTCATACATGAGCATGCACACACAAGCTCACAGCACAGCTAAGAACTTAGAATCTCAAAGTTACTTTAAAATTTCAAAGAGGTTTCATACAATCACTTATTATAGCTCTTTTCAGATATTTGATGACATATTAAATGTTCATATTCAGCCAGACCTGATTGAAGTTGCTTGGCCACTTGATCAGAACTTCATTGATGAACAAGCCTTTATCTTGTGGACTTTTGGAGACAAACTCTCCTACTTTAACTACAAATGAATCATGATTAGTATATCCCACAAAGTTTTGTATATCATACTTTTCCATAGGATTCTTCTTCTCATCAAAGCATATTTGGTCTCCAGCAGCATTCGTAAACTGAATTTTCCTCAGAAATGGATGAAGCTGAAGAGAGACATCATTTGCATATGAGTCGTGCATACAAATTTCTCACTGAGGTCCCTAAGAGCAATCTTGTTTCTCTCACCCTACACTAGCTTTCTATTGGTAGAGGCTTCATTTGAGTAATTGTCTCCCCAGTTGTTTCAGTAAGATGAACTTTTCTCCCCATGAAATTAATGTAGGAGTAGCTGAACCTAAATATAAATTTTATATGAAGGGTGGAACATAGCACAGAGTGCAGCATGTTCTTAGTGGGAACAAGGCCTTATGTCTCTCCCCAGCATAAAACAATCCTGATTCTAATTCAAATGAAAAAAGTTTGAAAAAAAGTCTACAACTAGAAAATATCAATGTTTTCAGAGTGAAACTAGAGTAAAAATGGAAGCAACACTATGTCTCTGACTTTATAGGTGCTAAGATATTCATCTTCCTTATGGCAGACAATGAACCCATTGTATGGTTAGTTAAGTAGATAGGTGTACATTTATATAGAGAGAGTTTCTTGACAGGATAATATTAGGAGGAGTTTATGCAAAGCTCCAAATTCTTGAAAATGCATATTAATGAGTGCCAGGAAATTAACAACTGAAGCTGAGTAAGAGAATTGACTTTGTTAAAAGAGAAATTACAGGTTGCACACATGGATTGTGGATCTCTGGTCATATTATAATCCAAGTATTCCCCTCCAGAATTCTAATGCAGAAGAAAGATATTATCATAAAATGGATATTTTTATCACATAACCTGAGTAAAAAATTTAAAAAATTGTTGTGGAAAAGGTCTTTGAGTTAATTCTAAAAGGAAAATTGAGACTTCATCAATTAGCTGGAATAGACCCATCAGAAATTGTGACACCTTTTAATAAAGATGAAATTGCTTAATTATGGGCAGAAAGTGTGCCCTGGCAAAGAGCTTACAGCAATTCCTGGGGAGAGATTAACAATAAATATTCCAAAAGCAAGAGAATTCAAATTATAAAGAGAGGTAACTGAATCTTTCCTCACACTGTACTAGAAACACCAAGAAGTAGAGCATCTACATTCTATACTGAAGCAAATAAATCTGGAAAGGCAGGTTACAAATAAAAACCTTAAGTAAAATGGCTCTATATCCTTATAATTCTGCCCCAAAGTCAGAATCATATGCTATTCTCATAGTATTAATGGATTTTACAGATCCTTTCAACAGTTACTGATTTGCAATATGTATAAAGAGTTGTTTTGTATATTAAAACCACTGAATTTATATCAGGTGATACACAATTGACTTTATTATTTATTCCGTTAGAAGACAGAATCAGGAACAGGAATCATCCCATATGTCTAACACATATCTGATCCCTTACAGATCTACTAGGCCCTCTAGCACAAAGCAATGATGAAATTGATCAACTATTTAAGAGGAAATGTTCTAGAGGCCTCAGAATTTCATCAAAAAGCCATGTCAATAGCAAATGTTTGAAAAAAGACTTTTCATCACATGGCAACAAGCCAAGCAAATTATTAAGAAATGTCCTACTTGGTCTTTATACAACCAAACTCCACTCCCTGCAGGGAGTAACCCCAAAGGGTACTCAAAGAAATTAAATCAGGCAGATGAATGTTTTACATTTTGTAGAATTTAGAAAATTAAAATATATACACCACACCATAGATACCTATTCATGTTTTCAATGGGCACCCTCTTTGAGTTCTGAGAAGTCTGGTTCATTAATTACACAATTGCTAGAAGGTATGGCCATTATGGGTATACCTGTTCAAATATAGACTGACAATGATCCAGCATATATCCCTAAGAAAATGAAACAATTTTTTGCTTATTATATTATGAAGCATATTATGGTATACCACACAATCCTACAGGGCAGATAGTTATAGATAGATGAAATCAAACTCTAAAGGATACTTAAATAAACATAAAAGGATAATAAAGACTCACAGAAATGTGTTGGATAATGCTTTATTTATTTTGAATTTTTAGATGAAAATGAGAACGGAAAACAGCTGTGGAGAGACATTGGATAATAGAAGAAAACTATGGAATTAAATCAGCCAGTATACTTTAAGGATGTGTTGATCTCAGAAAGGAAACCACGATACATGTTGGTATGGTAACCACTGAATTTATATCAGGTGATACACAATTGACTTTATTATTTATTCCGTTAGAAGACAGAATCAGGAACAGGAATCATCCCATATGTCTAACACATATCAGATCCCTTACGGATCTACTAGGCCCTCTAGCACAAAGCAATGATGAAATTGATCAACTATTTAAGAGGAAATGTTCTAGAGGCCTCAGAATTTCATCAAAAAGCCATGTCAATAGCAAATGTTTGAAAAAAGACTTTTCATCACATGGCAACAAGCCAAGCAAATTATTAAGAAATGTCCTACTTGGTCTTTATACAACCAAACTCCACTCCCTGCAGGGAGTAACCCCAAAGGGTACTCAAAGAAATTAAATCAGGCAGATGAATGTTTTACATTTTGTAGAATTTAGAAAATTAAAATATATACACCACACCATAGATACCTATTCATGTTTTCAATGGGCACCCTCTTTGAGTTCTGAGAAGTCTGGTTCATTAATTACACAATTGCTAGAAGGTATGGCCATTATGGGTATACCTGTTCAAATATAGACTGACAATGATCCAGCATATATCCCTAAGAAAATGAAACAATTTTTTGCTTATTATATTATGAAGCATATTATGGTATACCACGCAATCCTACAGGGCAGATAGTTATAGATAGATGAAATCAAACTCTAAAGGATACTTAAATAAACATAAAAGGATAATAAAGACTCACAGAAATGTGTTGGATAATGCTTTATTTATTTTGAATTTTTAGATGAAAATGAGAACGGAAAACAGCTGTGGAGAGACATTGGATAATAGAAGAAAACTATGGAATTAAATCAGCCAGTATACTTTAAGGATGTGTTGATCTCAGAAAGGAAACCACGATACATGTTGGTATGGTAGGGGTTTTGCTATTGTTTACAGAGGAGAAGTAAAGCTATGACTACCATCAAAAGTGATGAAGATTCTATTTGAACAAGAGAGAACTCTTACTTAGAAGAGATGACAGTTCCTCAAGCAGCATGGACATTTAATCTAAACTAAACTATAATGCGGACAAATGCTTTTCTTTTGATCACATATAATTTGCCAAAATAGAGCCTCCCCAAAATTAGTGATGGGGAAAGTTTTTGTTTTGCCTTTACAGGGGAATGAAGGCTAATGAATCTGAAGATTAATGGAAAAAGGATACATCTGAAGAAAAAGGACAAATCATCCCATTTTTGCTTTGCTACTAAGAGCTTCTGTGAGAGTATACATCAGTGGACAATTATCGTTCAGTAGGTTGACCTATCAGAAACATGATTCCCTGGTGAGGAGCCACACTTGGAAAGGAAGTGGAATCACTGGCTGTGGAACCCAGTGCTTCTGGTCTGTAATTTCTCTCATGAGTCACTTCATTTCTTGTCTAATAGCAGCTTTGGGTGTATTAAAAGTGCTTGTATGGCATGAAGACAGCTGTGGTTAGCCAGGAGGATGATTCTTAAACTGCATAATTTTGATGAATAGAAAAAAATACTAGGATATTGTACATTACTCAGACTGACATAGGATTTACAGTCACAAAGACTGCCTTTTACAAAACCAGCTAGTTTTGACTTCAGAGCAGATTCAAGGCAGGTTGGTTGCCCCTAGAGACAAATATCTGGCAGTTTCTAGACACAAATACATGATAACATTCTTCTCAGGTGTTGTTTTACTAATTCAAGGTGAGATCGAAGCAAATTTAGTCTCTATGAGTTCCCTACCACTCAAGGTCTGGCTAATTAATTGTTACTGATAAGTCTTGATTTCCAAAGTCATTTTCTACATGGGAATGTGCAACATCCATGGGTAAATGAGACACTGCTAGCCTGAGTGAAACTATGTGACTTAACATGTATTATGAATATGGGTTGGGCCCTGAAAAATAAAATACAATGGAGCAGAGTTGAGGGAAGCATAAGGCAGAGGCAGGGGATGAGGCAGAGGGCAGAGGCAGAGGCAGAGGCAGAAGAGGCAACAGACAGGTGTGTCAATGCAGAGGTAGAAAGATAGTAGCAAAAGGGGGGCAGATTAAGAAAAGTAGAGAGGAAATAAAAGGATATAATAAGTAGAAAAAAGCTGCTGAATAGAGCATTGGGAGAAAAGGCACATTTTTCACAAAGGATTTTTTAAAGATGAAGTAAAGAGAAATTTACCTACAGAAAGCATCCCTGTTTCCTATTTTCCCCCTCAGACAGAAAAGTCTATTAAACCTCAGGTGAGTATCTATCCTAGATTCCCCCACCTTCATGGATTTCCTTATTTACCCTGGTTCTGACTGGGGGTTGGACCCTAGAAGTCAGCAATGTTTTGCATTATTCTTTTCATTACAGCATGAAAATGTGTTGTGTGTTTAACCTCAGTGAAGTACCTACTAATAATATAAATTCCCAGTGTCTCCTTTCTCTATGAGGTAGACTTACCTGCCAAGGTAGAAGCCTGTCCTGGTTTATGTCTTTGTGAAAATCTATTTCTGTTTTACTCAAAAGCATTTCATGGAGGGCATGGGCCACTGCATACACTGCATTCCATATGGAAACGCTGGGCTCAGAAGTGATCATCAAAACCTGTATTTCCTGTTTATTCTTTAGCGATATATTCAGTGGGCAGAGTTCTTGACCTCCACATAGCAAAGGAGAAGGTGAACAGTGAAAATTGTCCAGCCAGAATTTATGGAAGTAAATATCACCTGGGTACTGTGAGGGTGTAAGTGCCTGGATAAAGTGCTTGAAGCCAGGGATATTTCTGTTCTTTGAAAATGAGAAGCTACCTTCAAAAAAGGACATCAAACCAATCCACTTATAAAATACAGACTGTAAGTAAACAAAGTGCGGCTTTGCCATGATCCACATCTTCTTTCTATTTGACCTAATTTCATTTAGTATGTAGAAAAACAGGACATCATCTATATCCCCATAGAACACATGCACATTTACTTTTGTATGTTGGCTCAAATTCACCAATCCACCACCAAACAGTAACTCCACTTTCATATAAGTTGGTATTTTTTCTGTAAAAGCCACACATATATCTTCTGAAGCAAGCTCTGCTGTCAGGTCAGAGAGGAACTCCTTTCCTTTTAGGTCATCAGCCACAATGATCCCCACCCACTTCCAGCCAAAGTGCAGCAATAAAAAGATCATCCCTTGGGTCAGACCTTTGTCTTGAGGAGAAATCTGGTACATGGATGGGAATGTATCTTTGTCACTTAGCACAGAATAAAAGATTCCGCTCTCTCTCCTCTCTCCCCATGCTCCCAATCCACTTAGGGGATCCTATCCCCTTCCCCTTCTCCAGGGTACCATGCACGTCTCTCTTAGAGTACTCCCTTTTTCCCAGCCTCTCTGGTGGTGAGGATTGTAGACTGGAAATCCCCTGATCCATGTATGATTTATGAGTGAGTAAATATCATGTTTGTCTTTCTGTGACTTGGTTACCTCAATCAGGATGGTTTCTTCTGGTTGGATCCATTCGTGTGTGAATTTCAAGATTTCATTTTTTTTTCTGCTGAGTAGTACTCAATTGTGTAAATGTACCACATTTTCTTTATCCATTCTTTGGTTGAGGGGCATCTAGGTTTCTTCCAGGTTCTAGGTATTGCAAATAATGCTGCTAAGAACATAATTGAAAAGATGTCCTTGTTGTATGAATATGCATCCTTTGAGTTTATGCCTAAGAGTGTGATTGCTAGGCCTTGAGATTGACTGATTCCCATTTTCCTGAGAAATCACCATACTGATTTGCAAAGTAACTGTAAAAGGTTACACTCTGTTGAACTCTTTCTTATGTGTCTTTCAGCCATTTTAGATTCCTGTATTGAGAATTCTCTCTTTAGTTCTGTACCAGACATTTTAATTAGATTATTTGGTGTTTTGGTGACTAGCTTCCTGAGGTCTTTGTATATGGAAAGCAGCCCTCTGTAAGATGTGGGGTTGGTGAATATCTTTTCACATTCTATGTCTTGTTGACTGACTGCCTTGCCCTACAGAACATTCTCAGATTCAGAACGTGCCATTTATTAATTGTGAATCTCAGTGTCTCTGCTACTGGCATTATGTTTACAATCCACATATCGACACGTCCAGAGAATCTCAGAAACAATGAGGAACCTAAAGGAGACATATATGATCTCCCAGAGAAGGGGAAAGACACTAGAGCTCCTGAACAACTGGAAGCACAGGAGGAGGGAGGAGGGGGGAAGGAGAAAGTGCAGTGGAGGAGGGGGGAGAAGAGCATGAGTGATCAGGAAGATTGAGTCAAGGGATGAATAGAGGAGAGCAAGAGAAGAGACACCTTAGTAGAGGGTGCCATTTCAGGTTTAAAGAGAAATCTGGCTCTACAGAAATGTCCAGAGATCCACAAAATGAGACCAACTAAGAATCTAAGCAATAGTGGAGAGGCTACCTTAAAAGGCCTTCCCCTGTAATGAGGTCTATGACTACCTTAATTGCCATCCTAGAGCTTTCATTCAGTAGCTGATGGAAGCAGAAGAAGAGATCCACAGCTAAGCACGGAGCTGAACTCCTGGAATCCAGTTGTAGAGAGGGAGGAGTGATGGAAAATGTGTCAAGACCATGCTGTGAAACCCACAGAAACAGCTGACCTGAGCAAGTGGGAGCTCCTGGACACCAGACTGACAGCTGGGGAACCAGCAAAGGACCAAAACAGTCCCCCGAATGTGGGTGTCTGCTAGGAGGTCTGGGCCTCTGGTAGTGGAACCAGTATATATTCCTAGTGCACAAATGGATTTCTGGAGCCCATTCCCCATGGAAGAATACCCTCTCAGCCTGGATTCACAGGGGAGGGCCTAGACCCTCTAACAAATGACTAGATAGACTTTGATGATCTCTCATGGTAGGCCTCACCCTTCCTGTGGAATGGATTGTGGGGTCGAATGGGGGTCAGTGGTGGAGCATGGGAGGATGTGAGGGCAAGGGAACTGGGATTGGTATGTAAAATAAGACTGTTTCTAATTTAAATCAAATTTATAAAAAAATGCTGAATCCAACACACACACACACACACACACACACAATTTCTATTGTAACATCATCCACATTCTGTTATAATGTTCTTTATTGTTCTTCCAAGTGGTAAAAGTTTCCAGTTTATAGACTCTTCCTTCCCTCTCCATCGCCACCATCTCTCCCGAGCCCTACTCCTGTCCAAGGCCCCCATTACCCCAGGATCTCTCTGGGCCTGCGACTGCATTGAGTGGATGCACCCAGACAGAGAGAACCTCCCTGAGTCTGAAAATACCTTACTCTTCCTTCCCCCTTCACTATCCTACCACTACTGAGTGAGGAGATAACCAGGAAAGGAAAGACCTTCCATAGCTGCACACATTGAAGACTTGGCCAACACTTACAACCAGGTGACAAAGGGAGATAGAGAGACCCCACCTGAACCCACTGGACTAAGAGATGGGAAGAATGCAGATTAAGAACACACTCAAAAACAGAAAGACCAATATGGCACCACCAATATCTAGGGACTCTAACCAGCAAGATCCAAAAAACACAACACAGAGGAAGAAGAAGAGACAAACTGAAAAATCTACTTTATGAAGATGTTTGAGAGTCATAAAGAAGAAACAAGAAAATCTCTTAAAGAAATGGAAGGAAGAACAACCAAAAGAATTAAAAAAATCAGTAATTTTCTTAAATAATCTAAAGAAAAAGCAACCAAACAAGTGAAGGAAGCACTTGAAACTGTTCAAGGCATGAAACAATAAAGGAACACACAATGAGGAGATGCTGGAAATAGAAAGGCTGGATAAATGATCAGAATCTAAGAATGTGAGTATAACCAATAGAAAACAAGAGATGGAAGGGAGAATCTCAGTTGTCGACGACTCACTAGAACATATACAGTAATCCACCAAAGAAAATCTCAAGTCCAACATATCCCTAACACAAAATATCCAGGAAATATGGCACACCGTGAAAAGGCTGAACCTAAGAATAATAGGTATAGAAGAAGCTGAAAAAATACAGCTCAAAGGTACAGAAAACATATTCAACAGAATCATAGAAGAAAACTTCCCCAAACTACAGAAGGATATGCCTATGAAAGTAGAAGAAGCTTACAGAACACCAAATAGACTGGACCACAAAAAGAAGTCCCATCTCCACATAATTATCAAAACCCCAAACCTTCAGAATAAAGAGTAAATATTAAGAGCCACAAAGGGAAAAGGTCAAGTAATGTGTAAAGGCAGACCTATCCAAATTACACCAGACTTCTCAATTGAAACTTTGAAAGCCAGAAGATGCTGGATAGATGTCTTACAAACACTAAGGGAACATGGATGCCAACACAGACTACTGTACCCAGCAAAGCTTTCAATCATTATAGATGGAGAAAACAAGATATTTCATGACAAAATCAGATTTACAGAATACATATCCAACAACCCAGCACTACAGAAAGTTCTGGAGGGAAAACTCCAACCCAACAAAATAACTGCTCTCACAAAAACATAGGCAACAGATAATCCAACTTTACCAAACACAAAATTAAATATTAGGGTGAAATACACACACAGTGACATGACCAATAATAAATCCAAAACAAACAAGAACCAACAATCAATGAACACCAATATGCCTCAGCGTCAATGGTTTTCACCTGCCTATAAAAAGATACAGGCTAACAGAATGGATATGAAGAGAGAATCCATCTGCTGTATACAAGAAACATACCTCAACTTCAGAGAAAGGCGTTATCTCAGAGTAAAGGGATGGGAAAACATTTTCCAATCAAAGGGACCCAAGAAACAATCTTGTGTATCAATCCTAAACTAACAAATTAGATTTCAAACAAAAATCAATCAAAAGATATGAAGAAGGGCATTTCATACTCATGACAGGAAAAGTACATCAAAAAGTAGGTACCAGACTCGGGCAACCCACAGAAACAGCTGGCATGAACAAGGAGGAGCACATCGACCCCAGACTGCTGTCTGGGAGGCCAGAGCAAGACAGTTCCAGATTGTTGAACATGGATGTCAATGAGGTGGTGTCTGCAGTCTATGCAGATGCTGGGAATGGATCAGTATTTTTCCCAGTTGTAAGGAGGGAATTTGAGATCCCATCCCACGTGAATGGATGCTCTCTTGGCCTGAACAAATGGGGAGGGCCTAGGCCCAGCCCAGGATGATGTGCTGGACTTTGGGGAAACCCCATTAGAGGCACTAACCTGCCTGGGGAGAGGAGGGGGGATGGGTGGGGGCAAGTGTGGTGTTGAGTGGAGGGTTGAGGGAAAGGGGAGGAAGAAAAAGGATTGACATGTGAAGCAAGCTTGTTCCTAATTTGAACTAATAAAACATGTGGTTAAAAAAATAGATGAAGTCTCAATCTGAACATCTATGCCCCAAATACGAAGGCACCCACATTTGTAAAAGAAACATTACTAAAGCTCAAACTACACATAAAACCACACACACTTATAGTAGGAGACTTCAACACCCTGATTTCAACACTTGATATAAACACCAGAAGAAACATAACAAAGAAACAAAGGATCTAATAGAAGTTTGACCCAATTTGGATTAATAGACATCTATAGAACATTCCATCCAAACTCAAAAGAATATACCTTCTTCTCAGTGCCACATGGAACCTTCTTTAAAATTGACCACATACTTGGCAACATAGAAAACCTCCACAAATACAAAAATTGAAAAAAGCCCCTGTATCCCATCAGACCACCATAATTTAAGATTAGAATTCAACAGCAATACAAATTGCAGAAAACCTAAAACA